CCCCAAAACCCCAAAACCCCAAAACCCCAAAACCCCATTAATCATTTAAACAAAAATTATTATAAATTGAAAATCTAAATAATTTAATTGTCAAAAATCATTCCTTTTTACCTTCTTTTTCTAAGTCATTTGAACTTATCCTGGGGTATTTTGAGAGTTTTATCTTTTATCCAAAAGCCCATTTTCCTAATCTTAAAAATCATTGCCTCCAACCTATTTGTTAACGTTAGGTTACTTTCTTCTTCGCCTTCTTTTCGGCCCTTCCTCAACGATTTCAAATTTATACAGATTCACACACTCTTCAAGGGATTTCCCAGCAGTATCCACTACGTATCTTTATAAAAAGAAGAAAATGAAGAAATTGAAGAAAACAAGGATTGAATACCCCACTATTTTTCCAATCTCACCATCATTGATTTTTATGAATACTGAAGCTAAGAAATAGTTTGTCAGCCAGTTTGTGATTGTTGTAATTGAGTTTGCATTGCTTCTAATGTGATTCTATATAAATTTTGATCGTTATTAAAAATAAAGGAGGTATTACTGGAAAGATTTCAGTACAAATAGCCCAAGGTTGAGAAGCAAAGCCAATTGCGTAAAATATTAAAAAAACCGACAAACTGATTATACATATCCATCCTCCAACTAAATATTCTTATCAAAATTTGTTTTACATTTGAAACCACCAGAACTGAATTGATTTATTATTGTCATGATCTCAATTGCTAATATTGAGAAACCCATTGGTATCATGCATAGCATCATAAGCTTTTTTCTTCCTATTCTTGTTGAGACGATAAAGTATGTTAAATTCCCAATCAAAAACATAACACTGAGAAAAAGCATACTTCCTAGCAAGCTTTATTCTGATACTCCAGCAAATCCAGAATCCTTTAAAATGCTTGGTCCATAGAAGAGTATGATATTAATTCCAGTTAGTTATTATAGGAATTAGAGGGCTACACCTATGAGTAGATTTCTTCTGTAAATCGTAACCAGCTCAATTACTCCCTATATAATGCTAACTTCATTATTAGCTTCATCACATTCAGCTTGAAGTTGCTTAAAATGTTTATCTAGCTCCTAAAAACATGATGTTTTAAGAGTGAATATCTTACCTATTTAGCCTTAGAATTTTCTAATTAATAAATAGTCTCTAGATTCTTTAGGGCTACAGGAATATATCCGTTTTATATTAAAAATGGAGGAGATTCATTAATGCCAAAGTATACAAGAAATATTTATATGATGCAGGGAATAGCCCCAATTCCAAATAAAATTGATAGTTTACCAGGAAGAACTAAAGGCATTAAATAAGAGAAAATCAAGCCTATGAAGAAGCAAAACCAGAATATCGACACCATCTAACCTCTATAAATATTTGGGGAATTCTCAGCTAAATATATCTAGCTAGCCACTATAGTAAAGCCAATAGCCATACCAATTAAAAATCTTCCTAGATATAAAAGCATCACATGTACAGACATCATTAAAACCAATGATCCAGCAATAAACAAAAAGTCTGCCCCCAAAATCGTTAATTTCCTCCCAATTTTATTTGTTACGATCCCAGCAATAAATGATGTGAAAGCAGAACCAAGAAGAGCCAAACTAACAAATTTCTATATTCAATTAAAACTGTTAATCTGATTTAAATATAGCTTACAGCCTTTTAGTCTACAGTAACATCAGGATAATCATTACTCATGTATAGTTAAACTCCTGCTACTATTCCTAAATTGTAACCTATTGGAAATCCTCCTAGTCCAGCTGCTAGACCAATAAAAATTAGTCTTTGAAATTTATATATTCCCTCTTCTGCTTTTAAATTATCTCCGTCCTCAGACATTAATAAAATTTATAATTCAAATTCTAATAGTGCAATTATTTAATCAGACAACTTAATCTTATTAATGTGTTTGCCAGGGGTTTTGGGGTTTTGGGGAGATCGGAA